TTTGGCAGCTCCAGCCCTCACCAGGGAGACTCTTTCTTGCTTCTCTGCCTGGCGAGCTTCTACTGGTCTTTAAAAGTCCGGGCACAAAGTCACTTCCTCTGAGGAGCCTTCGTGACCTCAGACTGGTGGAGTCTGGCACCTCCTGGGACTCTTGCTCACCCATCTATTTATAGTGCCCCACACAGGGCTTTGTGATTCCTGGGCTGTCTGTCAGGCTCCCTGCCTAACCGTCACCTCCTGCAACTGCAGGGCCTCCTCTGAGTCATAAGAGTGGGCCGCACGGGGCTGGAGTCTCCTCCAACGTCTGTGGCATGCCTTCCGTCCTTTGTTCATTCCTCAGCTACTTACTAGGCACCTGCTTTGTGCCAGGCCCCAGGCTGTGCTCTAGGAGTGCAGCAGAGGATGACTGGCGCTGCCCGGGCAGGGCTGAGGGTCTAGTGTGAGAGCCAGGTCATAACCAGAGTGAACAGGAAAGGCATTGGTGGCACGGGTGCCGTGCAGAGAATTAAAACTGATTTGAGGGCATGACCGGGAGGGCCTCTCGGGAGCTCATTTAGAGGAGGCCAGGAGGAAAGAGGAAAGGGAGCCAGCCCAGGGAGCATGGTGGGGAGGTGAGGGAGAAAGATGTTCCAGGCAGAGGGAACAGCAGAGGCGAGGGCCCTGAGGCAGGACCAGTATCGACATGTTCAAGGGGCAGCACTGAGACCCTCGAACATGGCACAGAGCAGAGAGGGCAAGTGGTCAGCAGGGGCCTGAACCCAGAAAACCTGCTGGGCCAGCCCTGCAGTCCCAACAGGGAGGGGGGAGCTGCTGGTGGTGCCCAATGTGCAGATGGAGAAGCAGCGGGTCCTGAGGTGAAAGGACCCATTTGGGACAGGGTGCTCTGCGCCACTCGCGACACCCATGAGTTCTAGATAAGGCCAGGACAGCTTCCTGTAGGAGGTGGCCCACTGTGTGTTTCCAGGCATTTCCTGAGCACCTAGTGCCAGCACTTCAGAGTTTGAGCTCCTGAACCTACTTCAGGGAAGCCTCACTGTCCCAGGGACAGGCACGTTAACAGGCACCAAGCTGCTCAGGGCTCCTCCGAGCGGCACCACTGGCACTTGAACCTGTAGTCTGCTGCGTCCACTGCTCATAACTTTCCTCCTACTGGAGGAAATCATGATAATTAGCAGGGCCCCCTTATCTCATCTGGCCTCCCCATCACTGTGTAGGTGGCCCTGTGGATCACCCCGTGGAATCCGCTTCTCTCACGTGAGGTGCCTGCCTGGAAGGGGGCGACTGACCCCATGACCTCTGCCAGGCTGTCCATCCGAGTCTCCTGACTCCAGTGCCAGATTGGTCAGTGGCTCCTGAAATCCCCAAGACTCCATGTGGGAGGAGACAGGAGGATGCCTGTCTGGACACTATACAGATGAGTCGCCCCAGAGGAGGGGAGGAGAAGGCTTGCCGAGTGGAGAAGATACATCGAAGAGCCTTCTCACTCCCTCGGAAACTCTTCCGCCAAGTGTAGAACGGGGGTGGGATGGCAGTAGACACGACCTTTAAAGACACCTTTACTGACTTCCCAGGTGCCGCCAAGTTCGCGTCTGTGTCCCCAACCGCTGCTGAAGACGCACGAAATGCACGCACTCTGGCACTCGGTCCACAAACACTTCCTGAGTGCCCGTGGAAGCCGGGCCGCGTCTCAGCAGCAGCGCCCCGAGGCCGGGCTGCTAGGGCCGCTCCTTCACGGGGGCGGAAACAGGCTCTGGGGTGACCTGACTTGCCCAGGTCAGACCCGCTAGGAAGCAGTCGAATCGGGATCTGACCCCCACCCATCCGGGAGGCGCACTTTGACCTCAACTCCCGCCGCAGAACTCCGCCTCCCAGCTTCTCGGGGCCGCAGCGGGGGACCCCGGGGCTTCTCCGCACACGCGCCGGAGCTCACCCAGAGCACACTGGCGGG